AGCTAGAGTTGCCCATGGAAGCCAGGCCACAACTACAGGTAGCCGTGGCAAATGGGGAAAGAGTGCACAGCCCCGGTATCTGCAGGAACACCGAAATTCAGGTGGGAAAAGAATCCTTCCGGGCAGACTTATTTGTACTATCCTTGGATGAATTTGACATCGTCCTAGGCGTCAAATGGCTGATCACTTTAGGCCCAATCCTCTAGGACTTCGCTGCCCTGACTATGACTTTCCACTTGGATGGCAAACCGGTTACTTGGCAGGGAACCAGGACAAGGACCAAGACACAATTGCATGCACTCCAGGGGGAGAATTCACGCGCCACGGATGTGGAGAGACTTCTCACCGATTACTCGGTTGTTTTCCAAGAGCCCAAGGGCCTCCCTCCTCCTAGACCCTGCGACCACCGGATCCCTCTAATTGTAGGGTCAGACCCGGTCGTGGTGCGRCCCTATCGCTACCCCCACCGACAGAAAGATTAGCTAGAGAAGCAATGTGCAGACATGCTACAACAGGGGATCATTCGGCCCAACCACTCCCCTTTTTCCTCCCCAGTTCTGTTGGTRCCCAAAAAGGAGGGAACTTGGAGATTTTGTGTAGACTATAGGGAACTTAACAGCCGAACCGTCAAGGATAAGTTCCCGATCCCCATCGCAGATGAATTATTGGACGAACTCCACGGCGCACAGTTCTTCTCAAAGTTRGACCTCAGATCGGGCTATTTCCAGGTCAGGATGTCTTCCGAGGATGTAGAGAAGACAGCCTTTCGGACGCATCATGGCCACTTCGAGTTCCTAGTTATGCCATTCGGCCTCTGCAACGCCCCTTCCACATTCCAGGCYCTGATGAATGAAGTCTTCCACTCTCAACTACGGAAGTATGTGCTAGTCTTCTTCGACGACATCTTGGTCTATAGCAAGTCGTGGGTGGAACATATACAACACCTAAGGGTCGTGCTCGAGCTCCTTAAGCAACACCGACTCTTCCTTAAAAGATCCAAGTGCTCCTTTGGGGAACACCAAGTCCTTTACCTTGGACATGTAATCAACGGACAAGGTGTATCTGTAGACATCTCCAAGGTGCAGGCCATTAAGGACTGGCCCCGGCCACAGTCCGCCAAGGCCCTCCGCGGGTTCCTAGGGCTAACAGGGTATTACCGAAAGTTCGTCCAGAACTACGGCCTGCTAGCAGCCCCGCTTACCAACCTGCTCAGGAAAAACGC